AATTCAGAGAAAACTCAATCTGAGTCCATGATTTAGTAAGAATATAGGAATACATTCCAAGAGTGTTCCAAGCTTTAGGAAATCCACTGTGATCTCTTGTAGGCTTGAGCTCTTGCAGAAGCTTTGAAGAGCAAAAAATTATTGCAAAAAATAATCTAGACAAGAAAAGAAGCTACTGTAGATAGAGTTGAGGTGCAGGGAGAAGTAAGCAGAAAACTGACATTTGCAAAACAGAGAGTGTCATAAAACTAAATTGTCCAGAGGTTGGATGTTTGGTGTATGTTTTTCTAAAGATACTAGCCAGCAAATTGCCACATAAATTTCTACCTTCAGAAAGGTAACTTTCCGGTAACTTCTTTGCTGTTTAATATGATATAGATTACTATTTTAGCTCTAAACTATAATGATAAAGCTTGCTATTGATTGATTATGCACCATCAAGCCAGTGTCAACTCATAACAACCATATAGATAGTCTCCAGGATCTTTCGTCCCCAACCTGGTCCTTCAGGTCTTCCAACAGTGCACCCATCACTACTACAGTTGAGTCTATCCATCCTGCTGCTAGTCATCCTCTTCTCCTCTTTCCTTCCACCTTCACTAAAATTGGGGGAGCATTAACATGCAAATAGGTAATTGTTGACATCTTTAAAAAAACATTGTTAAAAATAATGTACTTTCTTTGTATAAATCAGGTGTGTCCAGCCTGTAGCCAAAAAAGTCCAGGGACTTTTAACCACAGAAGAGGTTAAAAAAAAAACTAAACCAAGATGGTAGCTATGGCACCCTGCCAAAAACTCTTTCTGCTTTTTTCAGGCCTCTGGAGCCATCCAATTATATCACAGAATTTTGATGGCATTTGCTGAAAAATGGCAGCACCCCTTCTGCCATTTTAAGCTGAGAAACCCATCAAAACTGTAGTATATGCTCTAAAATCATCTTGACACAATTAAAATGTCCCCCTAAACCAAGAAAAAATCCCAACCTTAATTTCCATTTCATTTTATTCTCTACTATTATCTGTTTTCCCCTTCCACAAAAAAAAAAAAAAATCAGCCTTAGATATCATTAAATGGTTTTCTGCACTTTCCTCATTTGTTTTGGGATCACACTTTGTTTGTTTGTCCACAACTTTAGAGAGACTGCATATTTTCACAGAGTATACTTCCAGACAAGAGCATTCTTGCCCAGCTTAAAAAGACCTAGATATCTATTTGTATCAGCCTTTTGAAGCAGGCCAGGTGAAGAAACAGGCACAGCCGGGATTCCAGAAATGCTCTTCATTGTAGTAAGGCAGAACAACAGAATCTTGAAAGCCTCTCCTAGTTTCTCTCTGTTCCATCTAATAGTAAACACAATCAAGGTGGGATTATTCTGAGTTTCTTTCACATGCTTTCCACTTTCTCAAGACTGTGTGATCTTTTCTGAAATTCTTCCTTTAATGGCTTGCTCCTTCCTTCCCTAATCCCAAAGTCAGCTCTACATTCTTCTTACAGTCTGTAAACCTTTGAGGGTGTCTTTTGGCCAGCAGTCTTTTTCTGGAAGCATTAAAAGATAGAAAGGTTATTCACATTAAAATGGAGGGTTCTATTCCAAGACTAGTTAAATGAATCTAGTCTTTCTAAACAGAAAAGATCAGTTTGAGGCTTAGAAGCCTCATTTTGCTCTTCATGCCTGTAAGATTGGAAGCCACAGTATGCTAAGAGGTTTTCAGTCTTTCTGTATCAAACAAGCACTTTTCATGTTGAATTCTCTGCTTGGATTGCAAAAAATTCTGAATTCTATCCTAAGGTTCACGCTCTCGGCTTACGGCAGGGCTTCTGAGGAGAAGGTGCGAGGGGCACTCAGCTTCTCCAAAGGTGGGCCGGTGATGGTTTCCAGTGTCTTGGTTTTTTCCCTGGGCATACGAAGGAGCCTGGCAGGCACAGTCATTATGCACTGCAAGTAATGAAGCAAATGGAACCACAAGTAAAGCAAACTGTGCCAAAAATAGCCTTCAGTGGCTATTACAGGGGAGGATTCGAAAGCAAAATGAGCAAGTGGGAAGCTGCTTTAATTAGGAGTGAGTCCTACAGCAAACAAAGGAAAAATCAGAGAAGAATCATGCTTTTGAATCATCCTGATAACGGTGGCTCTCTTTATGTGGCCGCCAAAACTAACGAAGCGAAGGACTTACTGGAAGGTCAAGCTAAGAAGTGAAAACTCACTGGCTTAACAATTAGAATATTTTTTCAAAATAGCCCAAAGAAAATGGACAAATGAAGCTGTGATATATGCCAAAAAGAAATTCTTGTTTTGATGTAGGGCATATCCTTCTCTGTGATTCTTTTCAGGATTTAATGTTAACCACAACTTCTGAGGTGGAAGATGTGCAAGCTTTGTACAGAACCAATTAGTCAGATATTAACATCTGAAATTCACACTGCTATCGTTTTAGATTATAAAATTAGCAGGGTAAATGTGAACATTCAAGACTCTGCTGAAAACACCTGTGAGGCTTAACAATATTTTGAAATAATGTATTTCTCAACCGAGAACAGCTGTATTATTTTATCATAGAATTACAGTCTGGTATTCTTCAAAACTGATTTCAGCTTTGTTATTACCATGGTTTCTGAACAATAAAATTCTTACAGTATTCTAAGGTTCATAGTCACTTCATAATGAGCACTCGTACGAGTTATTGGGTGTCACTCTTCCTCCACATGAATAGGAATATACTGCACAGTAGAACATTCCCAATGCTATTGTGGTTGCACAGCGGTCACAGTCATCCTGTTTTTCCAGAAAACAGGCCAGTTTAAGAAACTGGAGGGAGTAATACAATACCATATTTGAAGCAATCTCCTAAACCCACAGCCCTAGATTAATATCAATAGATTCCTACAAAATGAGATGTTAGAATTATGTATTCAGAATGGAATATCCACAGAACCTGACCTAGGATTATCAAGAAGACCTATATTGGATACACCACACAATAAAATCCTTCTCAGGAGAATGACCTACATTGGCCTGGCCTACCTGTTGGCTAACACTGACCCACATTGGCAAACAGGTAGATGAACGTGCTCAAAAACTCCATCATCCCAATCTATCCAACTGGCCCTCCTGGAAATCTCATTGGCCTGAGGCAAACATAAGATGCTGTCTCATGGTCAGAATGATGGAGACAGACAGTTGTAGCCTCTTTAACTTTGTACCATCTCTCACACATAGCTCACTGCAGCCTGTGACTCTGCTTAATGCTCCCCTACTGTTCTGGGTCCAGTGCACCTATATATACCACGATCCACATCCCCCTAAACCAGGCCTGAAAGAAAGCTTGCATGCCATTACACTTCAGGCAGATTTAATTTCCTCAGAAGCTTCAAGGCTCCATGGAACATAATTTAACCATTATTGTGCTAAATTACTGAACGTGTCTTATAGCACCATTCTCTAATGAATTAGGAATTTTGCACTTAGAGCAAAATTAAGCCAGTCTTAATTTGGAGGGGCTGAGTATAAATTCCATGATTCCTTTCAATAATGCCTTTCAATAATGCCTTGAAAACACCCTGTAGTGTGAACGGCTTCTTTCTTTCCCAATTCTAAATCTATTTTTGTAGTATCAGCAACACCTGGTGGAAAAAGCTGGAAAGATCAAAAAGCAGAGTTGGAGGGGGCCGTTTTCCCCAGTTTCTGAAGAAAGAAGGTAGAAACCTCCAAGTACTGTCAAAGGGGGCAGCCGCAACAGCACAGCGAGAAGCAAGCAATGGCTGTGATCTTTTTTCTGTTCTTTCCCTCGGTAATCCAGCATCTGAGGAAAGTTGATAAGGAGGAAGCTGTACCCCCCCCCCAAAAAGGAACACTGCCAAGGCCCCAAAGAATCTGGAATAAGACTCTACTTCTGTTCGAGCAGAACAGTACTCTTTGTACCCAACACAAAGCAACAGTTAAAAAATATGCACTCAGCAGGAATATGGCACTTTAGTTTCCCACAGCTTGTAAAGGCCAGATTTGAAAGAGGGAGTTGGGAACATTGCCCAGAAATGCTGCTTTTTCTTTATAGGGCTTAGTGCTAACATGCTGGATCATGTATTGGATCATCATTAGCAAGCAGGCAAACAACAGAGAGAAAGAAAAAGGTGCTGTCATTCTCCTTCCTTTGCTTCAGCCTCTGGGAGACAGCCATTGTGGTGTAGGCTTACTATATCCAGGCAGCAAACTCCAGACAACCTTGTGGAACATCCTCCTCCCCTTCTCCATCCATCAGGCAGGCCCCTACCCTTTTAGCCTTCTGGAAGACCATGAAGACCTGGCTGTTTACCCAGGTGCTGGGGTAGAGTGATGGGAACCTGTGGATAATTGCTGAGATATCCCAGGAAGATGACTGTGGTGCCGGGTTTTTACTTTTGGTTTTAAGGGTTTTATGGCTTTGTAGTTTTATTGTTGTGAGCTTTTCAGAGTTATGCTGTAAGATGGGCAGCCATACAAATCTTTTAAATAAACAAATAAGCCACTAGATAGCACCAAAGAGATTTCTGTATCTCTATGCTGCCAGGTAGAAGTCATCTGGATGGTGGCATCATGTGCCTATTTGGACTGTGAACCAACTCAGTGGATGACTTTGGGCTACTTCTTCACTCCAACCACCCTGAGCCAAACACCAGGAGAAAAGGCACAATATAAATCTAACCCAGTATTTCTTGAACTTTTTGCCCTCAGGTCCCCTTCCCACTTTTAAAAATCATGGAGGACCCCCAAAAAGCTTTTATTTGTATAGGTTATATTTATTGATATTTACCATATTAAAAATTAAAATTGACACATTGGTAGAATATTTATTTATTGAACCATGTAAATATAACAGTATTAAACCCATTTGATATTAACATATATAAAATACTTTTCATGAAAAAAAACCTGTATTATTTTAACAAATAAAAAAAGGAATTTGAAAAGACTGACCTTGTTTTAGATTTTTGCAAATATCTTTAACATCTGGCAAATAATTTTGATTTTGCAGAGCCTTGAGAGGGCCTTGGGGGACCCCCCAGGGGTCCTCAGGCCACACTTCAAGAAACGCTGACCTAACCAATAAGCCAAGAAAACAAATTGCAATATCTAATTATAGTCAAGCATATGGCGGCGGGGAGGGGGGTCCAACTGCTACCCAGGGGCTACCAGATCTGGGCTGCAAAAATCCAGAGGATCTCTAAATGGCACCAGAGATCTCTTTGCTGTCATTTAGTGGTCAACGGGATTTTTGCAGAAAACATATGACAGCTGCCCCGCTTCCCAGCGGCTCGTTAAAACAAAGGTGCGTAGCTCGTAAGATCGCAAGCATGAGAAAAGCTACTCTTTAAAGCTTCGGGGCAGCCACGCCCCTTCGTCGGGCGAGAGGCATCGATTCCTGCATTGCGCATGCTCAGTCCGAAAGACCCTAAGGTCTTCCTTCACAGTCTCCGTAGCGGCGCAGGAAGAACGAGAGGCGGAGTTTGTCCTTCTGCAGCCTCCGTACTACGCCAGCAGGCATGGCCGAATATTCCTGCGTTAAGAAAACCAAGCTGGTTCTTAAGGGGGCCAAATCCAAAAGGTGAGCATATTGTCTTTCACGCTGGTGGGGTGGTGGAAGAGGTGGTGGGTTTCCCCCTTTTTCTTCAGGATATGGGACTGATGGTTTTCGTCTGGGGGGCGGTTTTTAGTGCTCGCTCTGAAATAATGGTCAAGTGCCTCTGAGCATACACAGATGTCCTTCCCTCGTTTTTGAGGAAAATCTCATGCAGCTGGGATTAAAGGAGGCTGTGTCATTTTCAAGAAGTTTTGAAATCCGATGTATTTTTTTTTAACTACAGGTTTTTTTAAAAAATGCAATTTACACTGCTTTTAAGAAGGGATCGATTTGTTGTAAATTTCTTATCTCTCAAATCAGAGTAAGTATTTATTGATTGACTTGATTTATATAGGTGCCCCTCTCACACAAGTGACTCATACAAGGATTAAACACACACACACAGACACACAAAACCCACCACATATAACTCCAGGCACCCAAGAAAAAAAAATGATTTCACTCATTAAAAAGTGCATTGACAACAGCTGAGTTCATTTACCTACATATCCCTGGGGAAACAGCCAAGTCTTAAACGCGTTGCAAAAGGCCAATATCTTGATTATGTTCTCCCATAATTCTCTTTATTAAATGGGGTTTTCAGGTTAATAAAATGCATGAGTGAAATAACAATACAGTTCTCTGGATAGCATTCTGTAGTACCTTGAACCTTTGTGAGTAATGGAAATGTTTTGCCCTAGTTATCTCTTGTAATATCTTCCTGTGCGTGTAAATTTAGATCCATGTCCCTCCTGGTTAGTTAAAGCTTCCCAGGAGGTGACATATGGGTGAGTCCAGGCAATGGTGAAGTCATCCTTGAGGGAGGGGGTATTTTCACCTGCCTTTAAAGAGGTGCTTGTGCACCCCCTCCTCAAGAAGCCATCACTGGATCCCACCATACTGGACAATTTTCATCCGGTCTCCCACCTCCCCTTTTTAGGGAAGGAGGTTGAGAAAGTGGTGGCATTGCAGCTCCAGAGGATCCTGGAGGAAACGGATTATCTGGGCCCTTTTCAGTCAGGTTTCAGGCCCAGATACGGGATGGAAACGGCATTGGTCGCACTCTGGATGGGAGTGGGATGGGGTAGGGCATCCATCCTTGCTCTTCTTGACCTCTCAGTAGCTTTCAGTACCATCGACCATGGTATCCTTTTGGGTCAACTTGCGGAGTTGGGAGTGGGCGGCATAGTTTTGCGCTGGTTCTCTTCCTTCCTCCAAGGTCGATCCCAGTTGGTGTTGATTGGGGGCGAGAGGTCCAGCTTGCAGCCCCTCCTTTGTGGGGTGCCCCAGGGTTTGGTATTCTCTCCACTCCTTTTTAACATCTACATGAAACCATTGAGTGAGGTCATCCGTCACCCCATGATGAGGTATCGTCAATATGCTGATGATACCCAGTTATGCATCTCCATCCCAGGTGACGTGAGTGATGCCATGACCACCCTTTTGCGGTGCCTGGAGGCTGTGGGGGTCTGGATGGGGTGCAACAGGCTTCAGCTGAACCCTGGTAAGACGGAGTGGCTATGGATTGGAGGCCCCTCTGTATCCAAGGATTTTCCATCTTTGGTTTTTGACAGAGTTGCACTGCCCCAGATGGACCCAGTGCGTAATCTGGGGGTCCTCCTAGACTCATGACTCCTGCTCAAGGAGCAGGTGGCAGACATGGCCAGGAGAGCCTTTGCCCATCTTTGTGTGGTATGCCAGTTACGCCCCTTCCTGGATCAGGAGGCTCTCCGGTCAGTCACTCATGCCCTGGTCATCTAGACTGTTGCAATGTGCTCTACATGGGGCTACCTTTGAAGAGTATCCAGAAGCTACAGCTGATCCAAAATGCGGCCGTGTGGATAATTTTGAGTGCCCCAAGAATGGTATAACACCTCTACTACGCGAGCTGCATTGGGTCCAGTCTGCTTCCATGTCCAATTCAAAGTGTTGGTTATCACCTTTAAAGCCCTACATGGCATGGGTCCAGGTTACCTGAGGGACCATCTTACCCCC